CGCCATCGAACCGGAGCGACGTCGGTGCCTGCTACTCGCACCACAAGCTTGGGGTTCTTGAATTCGGAGCTCGAAGACGGACACGAAGGGGCGGCCTTGCAACGTTCCTGTCGACCCAGGCCGCGCAGCTGGTTGGTCAAGCTACACCATCAAACCGGTGTTGGATGGCCCAGAGATTCCTAGCAAGCTCGGGCCCACACCGTGACATCGAAGAACAAAGACTTGTTCCGTCCCAAGCAAGATCGACACTCGAGGCTGTGAGGGTTCTCAGCTTCCATTTGAAGACGACAGAGACTGACTGTAATGACGGTAGCTATTTAATCTTGCTTATTTTTTTTTTTTTTTCATTTCTGCTCATATTTTGTTTGTTTGTTTGTTGTTTTTTTTTAGTTAATTTGCTTTCGTCTACATATGTGTCGCTTCGTCTTTCGACCTGCCCTCGTCCCCTAGGAGGAACCTTGACATTCTTGCTATATGCAAATATTTTCTTCGATTCTGAATTAGGAAGAAAAAGAAAACGAGCACAAATATTGAACACGTTTCGTTTATTTGGGATACGGCTGCCTAATATATATACGCTTGCATAATAACCCCAGTTATATTTTGAAGGTTTTACTGCAATGTAAATACCATCAATCGCATTTCCTGTTTTTTTTTTGTTTTTTTAATACATTAGGTGCGCGCGTGCACCGGACCACTTTGAAGGTCTGTTTTTCGCCTAAGCGCGCGGCTCTTCTGCGATGAAGTGAGTCGCGAGATTGTGGTGTCAGCTCCGCGCGTAGAGCTTCTGCGCCATACACCGGTGCTTGAGGAGAACCGCACTCAAGGGGGCCAACCCGCCGCGTATGAATATCGCAGTTCATTAAGAGATTATAAAATAGCGTATTATTTGAAACTACATGAAAATTCGAATATTCGCGCAACCGTACTCTTCGCACGTAATACTTAGGCATCCGGGAAAAAAAAAGTACTTTATTCATTTTCAGTGGCATCGTCAACAATGACATGTGCAAGACACTTAGGTTCCTTTTCGAGAACAGCTTCCTTTTTTGCGTAGACATGGCGAGAATTGTGCACAAATACAGCCTTTGGAGCAGCATATAGCTGGTTGTTCGCTCTGGTGCGGATCCATATCACATGAGCAAATGACGTCTTAGCGAACTGCGACATTTGAGCAAATCGACGTTCTAGCGAATAACGGGGGAGCATGTTAAGGCAAGACACTGGTTCTAAAATCGACTTTTTTGTTTATTAATGGATTATAATGAAAATTAGTGTGTATGTGTGTTTTGGCTTCCTCTTTTCAAATATACAATTAGTTCTGCAATATCTCAATTACTTTTTGAGTTACGAAGAAAATAATGAAGCCTAATTAGGTCATTTCTTACGACTCATTAAGGAACTTTCTAATACGAATTTTTTTGCATAAGTGATATGGATTTGTAGCTAAACACCTGTCATGCAAGATGATGCTATTTATATTTTTGTAAAGATAGATCATTGTATAAAACTAGTCTAATTAGGTCAAGTACACTATTTACGAAGCTTAACGAGGTCACATTATCACTAATAATAAAATTTCGGGCCCATACTGTCATACAAAAATAGCATCACCCTGCAGTTCACTTCTTTCTGAATTCAACGGTATAAAGTTTATAGAAATCCTCGAAGAATAATCTCATGAAAACAACCGTAAGGCTAGGCATGTAGACAAAAAATGCGAAGCTGAGAAAAATGCAGTTGAAGTTTTGACACTCATTGCATAAAATTGAGTAAGATATCCCATGCAATAATGTTCAGCAATGTGAAGCATAGTTCTATCTGAACAAATTGAGATGAAAAATTCTGCAATCCGTTCACAAGAACCTTTAGAAATAATATAAAACTGAGAAATAATGTCTGCAATGTAAAATAACGTTATAAAAGAATGAGTAGACTCTATAAGGGACAACGGGAGGAAGCACCAAAGGTTGCACGTTCCGAAAGCAGATTTTGTTTGGCCCTGAAAAGGGCCTTTGTTCGTGTAGCACTTGAAAGGGGAGCCCCTCACAGCTGTCCAGGACTGTAGCCCCAGCTGTTCCAGTTTGGTGTTGCCTGGAGAACCTCTGCTTTGCATTGCTGCTGCTCTGGTGGGCAGTGTTGGCCTTACGCGGATTGTCCTTCTCCATGCTTTGAGAGCTTTCATGTCCACTACAATGAACTGTGTCCCAGCGTCGCGCGTCTGGCCTCGTGTGGTGACGCCGAGAAGGTCGAATTTGCGCTGGGTCGCCGACTTTTCCGATAGCGCACGCTTGCATTCGTCCGATCGTGCGACTCGTTGCGCCTGCTCGGCCGTGGAGTAGTATGCGGTGTCGACACGAACCGCGCTCGCAAAGCTCGACAAACTGCCGCTGCTGCATGGAGTTGCGATGTCTCCGGCTGATGCTTCCGGAAGATCCAAGGCATCCGGCGGTGCCGATCGCGGTGGCGCACTTGCAGCAGACAGCTTCGGCTTCTTATTCCACGGTCGCTTCCTCTTCCTTCCGAACGCTTGCCGCGTGCTCGATTTCAACCGAGCGTCGTCCGGCATCTCGAGAACTCGAAGCGAAACAAAACAAAACACGCGCGACTTCGTAGGAAAACGAACCAACAATATTCAACGCAAGCGCGCAAACGGGAACTAAAACGTGCGCTCGACCACGGAGGAAACAAAGCAGACAGGCCTAAGGAGACGGGCGGAGACGAGCCCAGGAGCAGACGACGCACCTCTCGCCAGCGCGGGAAGGGAAAGGAGGAAAGGAGAAAAAGAGCGGAGGGGCGCGTTTAGGCCAATAGCAGGGGCGCTAGGCGCCGCGCGTGCTCTGACGTACGGGCACCTTGCTAGCAGGCCAATGAGCGATCGCAATTGGGGCTTTCGAAACCCGCGGAATGCGGACGTTCCCCGATGTTGTCGCGATAACGAATGGCATGGGGACGTGGGGAAAATAAGCGGCTTTCCAACAAGACCAAGATGGCCGCGATCCGACGAGCGATCGCGAAACGCGCGGGGCGCGAAGTTCCACTTGTTTTCATTGAACTCGCTTTGTTAGGGCTCTGCGGGGACATCGTAAATATCATTTTTTTTTCATGTTTAGACATTGAATTCGACATTGAAACTTTGCAGGAAGTACATTAGACTACAATTAATCCAAATATGTGAATTTTGAAAAACGTGAAATTTCGCGTTTTTTGACCATTTTAAGACCCGCGTCTCCCCGCGCTGCGCTTACGCCGGCTTCGCGGCGACAGTCTGCGGCGGCTCATTACAAAAATGTGAACTCATTTGGCCTACCCCGAGAACGCCGCTTCGCGGCGTCCGACTATTCGCTAAAGTGTCATTCGGTGAAATGTGGGCGTTCGCTAAAGCGTCATTCGATCAAGTGAGAGCCTCGCACTGTGCCGCGGGGTCGCCGCTAGGATAGGACACGTGTGCGACGGATGCAGTGCCGTCTGCAAGTGCGGGCGCTCTTCCGAGTGGTCTTCTACGAGTGCGGATGCCGCATTCCGTCTGCTCCTGCTCGGCGACGGTCACGTAAGACTGAAGCCGAGAAGGCGGAGACGATGGCTGGGCGTGCAGAGGCGGTGCGCCACAAGCGGGCCGAGGATTCGATAACGCTATCACGTTGCACTCTTCTTTTATTTAATGGCGTCACCTTTTTACAGCGAAACTGTTAAGGGCTAGTGCCTCCACTATCGTGTTTGCGGACGAGCGGCGTGTCTACACAAAACTCCAGACAGCTACCGCCATCTACGAGCACTCGAGCCAGTTCACCGTCACCCTCACTCGCGTACACGAGAGTCGCCCCTTATGTTACGTGCAGTCTCTCCCCCAACCCTTCTTCCCCGGCGTCTGCGTATCAGTTGCCCTTTGAACTCACGATGGGTCGGCCGCGTGCCGCTCATTAGGAGGAAGAGCGGGAGCGGAAAGAGCGGCGACGTGCGCAGCAGCGCGAATGGCTGCGCAAACGCCGCAAAGCCGCATCGCCTCGAGTTCCACTGCGTCGAGTGATTCCGAATCCCTTGCGAAGGAAGAGCAGACCGCTCGCCTCGAACGTCGCCGAGAACAGAAGCCACCACCCAGTACAGCTTCGCTGGTCTTCCTTTTTCACCAATAGAAACAAACTATTTCTTTTTTTTTTTTTTTTTTTTTTTACATTTGCGACAATAAAGAAAGAATCATGATTTAAAAAAAAAAAAATATTGCCATGCGAAGATAAAATAAAACTAAATTATTCATCAAAAGGAAGCAATTTGTTTAATTCACGTGCACCAACTATTCCAATCAGGATTGACAATCAATGGCTTGCCCTTCTAAAGTAAAGTGGCAAACATCCCATCAAACCAGCCATTCGGAATCATTGAACCCAATTAGAATGACCAGTTCAGTAACTCCACCCCAACTAGAAACATTGAACCCAATTAGGATGACCCAGTGCCAATCGAATTTTGTGATCACAATTGGGGTAACCAGTTGGAAACATTAAACCTCATTAGTGTGACCAATTAGGTAGCTCAGTGCCAATTTTATTTTATTCCTCCGAATTGGGGTAACCAATTGAAAACAATGAACCCAATTACAATGACCAGATGGATGAACCCAATTACAATGACCAGATGGATGAACTAGAACAAATTGAATTCCATTGATTCCAGTTGGCTCCAACCGAATCCTAATTGGACACAATAGGATTGGGAAGCAACCTCTGGGACATGCAAGAGGGGGTCTGGGCCTGGGTTCACCCTTCCCTTGTCCAACTGCTTGGGTTATGCCTTCGCCCTTGTAGCTTTGGAAAGGGATGTCACATGTTTGGCCGCCATCACTCCGACAGGCTCAAGGGGGTTGTACCGTTCGTTCCTTCCCAAGTCACAGTGACACGAAGTATAGCAGCACGTATTTCATGGGTCTTCCAATTCACTGCCAATGGATGGAGACAGCCACACAAACTATGTTGCTCCTCTCAGTGCCAAACAAACAAGAAATGTTGGATTTCGTGGAACAGCTTTATTTAAACGCAGAAATATAAACTTCAGAAAGTGACAGCCCACCTAGTGTAAATGAGGAGAAATTGCGATGACCTCTGCACGAGGTACATAATGAAACAGTCAAACAATAACTGCAGCGCACCTGGGCGTCGTGAAGAGTACCAGAAAACGTAACGGCAACAGTTCTTGCGTACAAACATTGTGAATGCAAACACCAATGTGCACACATTGCTCAAGAAGCACACTTGTGGTAGAAATTTCATTTGGCAGGTACGGAGCAATAAGCAGTCAGACAACTGAAAGACTGCAGAGTGGAGGAAGGCATGTTATCATAGTTCATGAGGCTTCAACGTCAAGTTGTTTTTTTTTTTCCCTTGGCTTCTACACGACACTTGTAAAGAATCCTTCTGCAAAATGTCTTCGTCAATGTGCCCAATCAGAGAGGCCCTCACACTAAGGAACGATAACACGGCATATCTGCATTGTGATTAACTTTCTATCACAACTGCAGGTGGCCACCTCTCTTGTAATCATTTCGATGAATTATGCAATACACCACAACTTTCCCCGAAAATGCAGGACGGCATCAAATTGCCATACCTAGATGTTGTTAAAACCAAGCACGACTATGTAAAATACAGACGAGTGGCCTACGTCCCTTAAGTAGCAAGGTTCAGAAGAACTGCCGAATCTATCACCGGGTCCATTTTGACTAGAATGCCTTCAGATGTAGACAATAGCTGCGTTCGATTTACCTACACCTCCTGCACCAGTGCAGAAAAGTGTAGGGCACTGTACTTCTGGTCGTATCTGAATACACATACCGGAAGTCGACTGCCCTACACTTTCCTGCACTGGTGCAGGAGGATAAGTAAATTGAACACAGCTAATGAATGCAGAATCACTATAGAAAAATACTCTATATCCATCTTTGTGTTGGCAAACCTCCACCTCATAACACACCTTGGAGCAAATGAATCACATGAAAAGGTGGCAACCCTGAAAAAGTGAGTATTTACAGCGACCAGAAAGAGCAGCAAGCAAAACCAATTTTATCTCAACTCAACAAGAGTGCCCTCCATCTCCACAGCTCTTTGCAACTAAAATATTCAGTAGCCTAGAAACTGGAACTGGCATAAAAGGCATTCCTTGTACACACAGCAGCTTTAAAGGCAATGGTGCTAACATGATAGCTCACAAGAAACCTGGGAATACATTAATAGATCCCTGGTCAAAACAAGAAATAATAGTGGACAACAGACAAGGCTTTGGCATATATTATGAAAGCCTGTATTTTGTGCGCAACCACAAAAGCTGCTTTCAAAGAGTTTGGCCGTATGTATCAAGGCCTCTTAACCTTGCTCTCACAAGACAGTTCATGTAGCCATGTAGCCACTACAAGCACTGATTTTTTTTTTTAATTACAGCAAGCCAGGTTTGTAGGTACACTGCCAATTTAGAATACAGCTTGCTTGCTAGCATCACTTGCACATACAATCTAAAGCTACTTCTATGGGAACCACTTTTGCATGACCAGTTTTCTATAGACTTTTTTTAAGGCTCCATTAAGAAAAGTAAAGTTGCCTTCTACATTATATGTGTAGCCCATGATGACATGAGCCAGATGAGTCCCGATTTAGCAAATAATGTTGACCAAGTCTTTTCAGTCTTGGAGGAGCAGAACAGCCCACCAGGATGGTAACACCTGTACCAAGCTTGACTCAACAATTCAAGATCTCACATACAATAGTTTGTTCATTCTCCCGGCGCAGGCCTAAGTCCCGGCACCAGGCCTAAGTCCCAATGCCAGGCTTAAGTCCCAACGCCAGGCCTAAGACCTGACGCCACATCTATGGCCAGATGCCAGCCTACCTAATAACACCAGGCAGTGGATCCCAAGGCAGCAGAACAAACAGCAAACCAGAAGAAACACTTTTGAGTAACTGCCTAGCCTTACACCCTGGTGCAAAGGACCAAGTTCAAAAGTCAAGCCAATCTCAGACCAATATTGCAACAACTAAAACCCAAAAATATCGCTCATCGTAGAGGAAAGGTGCAAAATTAAGTCCCAGAAGACTGAGCAGGGGAGGGGGACGGCTACAATAACTCAATAAAGTAAAACAAAAAGTAAACAGAGAGGTTTGTGCAACCCCTCACACAACGCCCATCTTGGAGTCCGGGTAGTACTGAGGTGCTGGGGCAGCGGGGCTGTAGCCCGGAGGTGGCACGTAGGTGCCAGGGGGGACAGACTGAGCCGCAGGCACCATGCCAATGCCCGGGTTGTTAGCAGCATTTGCCAGCTGCTTGTAGAAGGACAGCACCACCATGAAGAAGTAGATCTAAAAATGAAAAGATATTTTGTTATAACAATCAGCGGGCCCCTCCAACGAACCAGGCACGTGTTTATGCCAATGTGAACACAAGGCGTCCACCATACTTATGTTGCAAAATTTCCAAAACTCTTCCAGGTCATCCCTGGTGAATTCAAAGAGGAAAAAAGAGGGCATCAAGCCAGAAATATAATGACCAATGTGGTTCTGTAAGGATGCTTGCTTAAGTAGCAAAATGCACTCTACCTTTGGGCACAAAATAATTGTTAATGCCGTCCTCTTTTACTCAAGAATGAATATAAAAGGTTGGTGGTTCCCTGAACTGGTTATATGGAGCATCCTGGCATTTTATGGCAAAGCTATATAAAAGTCTGTTGAGTGTTTTTGTGTCCGTCGAATGACTAGTACACAGAAAGCCACCGTGTGTGCCTTATCATCGTATGTGCCTTATCATCTATCATGTGGTTTTGGCACCTGTTTCAATAGTAAGCACAGAGAAAGTTTAAGTGCCAAAACCACATGATAGATGATAAAGCATGGGCTAAAAATGCGAAGCACATGGCACTCCCCCATGCGTTTCTCTGTAAAGATTGCAGTGGCATAAGCTGTCACGGCAGCGGCAGAGTACGAAGTCTAATTCATATATAAAAAAAGGCTTTGGTACAGTGCATCTACTTTTTTTTTTCGTCTATCGTTTGTTATAGACCCTTTTGCTGTTTACAAACGTGCACTGATGCTTGCGTCCTAAGTGACTTCCGGTAGCACCGCCCTTGCAAACCTGTTGAGCTTGCTTATGTAATCGGTGCTAGAAAGCGTAAATGCTACATGGAACACAAATTTGGAGACAAGGGCCTTCGGCTGTACAACAGTACATCTTGGAGGAGGCAAGTTGATTTACAATACTCTAAAACATTTTAACAGATCGCGCACTCCCTTATTTTGGCGTTCACCTGGAGAATTGGTGGTTAAACGTTTCATCTACATTTCAAGCAGTAGTGTTAAAATGGCCTTTGTTCATTCTTTTTATAAACCGGAAGTTCTCTGGGACGTCAAAGACTGGAGCACCGCCTGGTGGCGTTTGCCATAAAAAAGGTCTATAGTGCAGTGGGCAATCGTTGCACGTGATACCACACCTTCGCTTGGCAACCACCTTCGCAGCATGGATTGGAGCCACAAGTTTTTTATATCAGCTAAACAGATGTGGCTACGTCTTAACTCCTACTATCTGAATTCCTTAAAAAACCTTCGATGCTTCCTTGTTTTTCCAGACACCATGGCAATTCCCTAACCCTGCTTTCCTCAAGACAATACTAGATTATCTACAATTTTGAGCAGATGCTTGCTCAGCATTTTAGGGTAAGTAGGGTTCCGGCCTATTCAAGTCAACTTTAGTGAAATGCAGAGGCGAGGCTATCTTTCCAGGTTTAGCTTTTGAAAACTTGGCATTTATCGGAGCTATGTTCTGTAGTATCCACAATTCTCCCAACTTGCAAATTAGGAAAAATAATACGAACATACAATGCACCGAAAGATGCAAAAAGTCATCGCTATTGCGAACAATATTTACATAAATTATGTTATCAAAAACCAAGTAAGTGCACAGGCGAGCTGGTGGATTTTGATCACGTTGAAAATTGCTCGAGAAAACAGAATAGCCGAGTACGAGACTCATTTTCCGGTCTCCTTTTTCTTCTACGAAGTGTCCCCTCTTTTACCACAGTCTCGGGCCATTTGCAACATAAAACATGTGGTATCTGGATTCCACTGTTATCAAAATGCCACAACCCTCTTAAGGTCACATAAGAGACTGACATGCTGTCTAAATTCGAAACCAGAACATCGGCTAGGACAATTCCACGTACCGTATTTCCCTATGTATAAGACACTTTTTTTCCAAAATTTTTGGTGGTGCGGGTTATACAGAGATGTGTCATATATTAGTTTTTACTTAGAAACTTGTGAAAAGTGGGGGGGGGGGGGTGCGTTTTATACACATAGATAAGACACACTTTTCTTTTTACACCTTTTGGGCAGTGTGTTTTATACGCAGGTGCACTGATATACTAATTTTTACTTAGAAACTTGCGAAAAGTGGGGGGTGCATCTTATAGACCGACACGCGGGCTTGACGTCACACAGCTCTGCGCATGCGCTTCACGAGAATTCGGTTTCTGCGCACGTGCAGTGACCACACGTGGTGTGGGCAAACGTGCACTTGTTTCTAAACAGTGTGTTGGTTTATACACCGGAAAATACAGTACTTCAAGAGCCTTCTATCATCCCGAACCCGTACCGAATTCTCCCTTTGTTATGGGCAGATTCCAAACTGTCCCAATATGAATGGCTGCACAACGCCACCATGACTGGGTGCCAGCATCGGTACCAGGCCCACTTTGCCCCCCTTCCTTAATGCTATAGTGCAAGGGTGGCCAAACCGCGGCTCGCGAGCCGCATGCGGCTCTTTGCTCGTCGAAGTGCGGCTCGCGGATCCCTAGCAAGGGGACCCCCCCCCCCCCCCCCCCACCCCCCTTTCGCCCCTTTCCGCGTTTCCCCAGGAAAAATAAGAGAAAGGATTTCAGAATAAAACACACTGCAGCTTCCAGTTTGGCAGCCTTGTACTCCCATGCGTACAGTCGGACTCTGAACAAAAGTTACGTTTGCCCCCTCCACTCTCCCCCCCCCCCCCCCCCCGCGGCTCTTAGAAGTTCCGTGGTTTTGTGTGCGGCTCTTCGGCCAGGCCAGCCTGGCCACCCCTGCTATAGTGCATAAACGAGTGTCAGACTGGTGTTTACTCCGCCCTAAAAAGTAATCCCTCGATTTCCACCCCATGACATCATGCAAGTGACATGTCGCTAGCCACGATCCTGGCGGCATCACTGTAGCAATGCTGAATGAGACAGATGCTTGTTCTGCTGCAGTTCACCCTCCTGCTGCTTGACAAGCCACGGAAGGTTTGTCAGCCAGGAGTTGGGATGTCGCGACAACAGCGACACTTGCACTGTGCTTTTAATGCAATGCCATTCTTTAGCTACCTCTGGGCCTCCTAATGCACAGCTGATGTGGGCGGTAGACCATTTCAGCTGACATTCTCACACTCTTACGCATCTGCACCCTCTTCAAAAAACTAGTCGTCCTAGAGGTCGTCCTTGATGTTTTCTTACGCCATTGACGAATGCTATCGCAATTCATCGACAACCAACAATAGTGGTTTCTGCAGCAATAGGAAAACTACGACCAAACGCCAGGATCACAGCATCCGACATCATGACACTTTGGCTCTTCTGATGCCGCATGTTGCCATTTGGGAACACTTTTGCAGCTTGAATAAAATGGCAGTATAGGACTCTAAACACCAGTTGGATACATATTCCGGGCACTGTACTACAGCTTTCCAACACAGATGTCTCAGCGAGTCAGAGAAACACTTACCCCAAGGCACAACGAGAGAATGAGAGAGCAGACGATTCCAAGCAACTGAACGGCACCCTGCAATCCAAACAGAAACGTTGCAGATCAATGCAGTGCAACAGGGTTGGTAGAAACACTTCAATGAACATGATGGCATTGATCTGTAAAAAGTAGGGGTGTGCGAATACTCGAATATACGAATTCAAATCGAATAGAAAGTTCCCGAATAATTCGATTCGCGAATTGAATTCCTAGTATTCGGTTCCTCGAATATTCGATATATTCGGCCAAAGACGCGCGGTGGGCGCGGAGCAAACAAAAAAGCAGTTTTTTCTCCCAATGTAAGCGCCGTGATATTAGACAGACCATGCGAGAAACACCTCTTGGTCCGACCATTCCACAAAAATCTAACGCACAGGTTAGAAAACAGAAAAGTAACGAATGCCACAAACTTTATAGCACGAAGATTTACTCACGATCATGACACAATCTACCCTTGCGCCGCTTCCAGAGAGGAATTGTTAGGAAGCCGGAATTCCACGCCAAGCCTAATTCTTTTCACGAGTAAAACTCCTCGTTTCAAATTGAAGTGCCGATGTAAAACACACTTGCCGCACTCGCAGAAATCGGCTACTGCACCACTGCACGATCACAGAAAGAAAACCAACGTTACCATGCCGGCGAAACCAACCGAGTTATCGTCGTCGTTCTTTTGGAACCGCGAATTCTGATTCGGATTCCGAATCAGAACGACAACTCTGTTGGTTTCGCCGACGTGGTAACGTTGGTTTTCTTTCTGTGGTCGTGCAGTGGTGCGGTAGCCGATTTCTGCGAGTGCGGCAAGAGTGTTTTACATCGGCGCTTCAATTTGAAACAAGGGGCTTTACTCGTGAAAAGAATTAGGCTTGGCGCGGAAGAAACGGAACGGAAAAATAATGTGCCTAGATTTGAGAGGGTTTCCAACAGCTCGATAGCCGCGTTTGAATTACGAACTGCGAGAAGGCGCCGAAAAGACGAAAGCGTCGGTCAGGTTCGGGCAGGCAGGGCAGGCGTCGCCGCTCTTCTGTTTGTTCGCCTTCTTTCCACGCGACAACACAACACATGCGCATTCACGATCAATCTGCGATGAAGCCGTCTCTGTGGTTTCAGTTTCGGTTGCTCCCTCTTTTAAATCAAGGCTCTCTAAAACAGGATAGATAAACGGAAAAATGGATGCGTAGCGGCAGTTGGACGGTGACTTGCGCCACCTAACCACGTTTTTTTTTCTTACTTTAGACTATATTGTTTAAGCCAGTTTACCTCGTTGCTGTTTACTCAGATTTAACACCTGTTTATTTATTTATGTGAAATCAAATCCCAGGTGCCATTTTCTTTCCTTAAAATGGAGACCAACTATCGCAAAATGCCCCTTTTCTGAGATATACAAATATTTAAAAAAAAAAGTTGCGGTGTTAGGTTGTGTTTTTAAAGAGAAAAAAAAAGGCACGCATGGCTAAAACTTTTTTTTTTGTGACGTTTAGGGTAGATAGATTATGTTTGCACCATAAAATTGGATCTTTAGTGCCCAACGTTCAACAGCCACTGCTTTTTTTTTTTTTTTCACCGGAACTTTTTACATTTTGGCTTGTTTTGTACAGGACGTATATTCTGCACCAGGCGCATACTCTGCACATATAATAATCGCATTCTCAGCACACTTTGAAAAATTCCTACGAATAAAATCACTATTCGATATTCGATTCGATATTCGGGTTTTTTTTCTTGATTCGATTCGGTATTCGATTCGAAAGCTACTATTCGGTATTCGCACACCCCTAGTAAAAAGTGAAAAAGGGGAGGAAATAGGAATGAAGACCTGCACATGTCAGCCTTCTTCCTTATTTGCTCCACACTTTCATTTCACAGAATTCACTGAGCAATGTGCACCTTTGATTGATATTCGGAAACCCTCCCAGGCGAAAATTTCTCACTGGGACCAGTTGGCGCTTCAACTGGGATTAACTGGTACCAACTGGGAATCAACTGGGACCAATAGGAGTCCAACTGGGACCAGCTGAGGGGTCAACTGGTTTGAACCATTCCCGGTTGGGAGTCAACTGGTTTGAACCATTCCCAGTTGGGAGTCAACTGGTATGACTCCCAGCTGGGAATGGAGTGAACTGGGACCAGTTAGGGAAGTAACTGGTTGGAGTGATTCCCAGTCGGACTTCAATTGCCTTTCCCGTTCCCAGTTCACACGGGGCAACAATTTTGACAAGTTGGGGGTTTATTGACCTTTGCTAATGAAGAAAACTAAAAACACTTACCTTTTTAGATTTATACAAATAGGCAAATTTTTAATTACTGGGTACATTTATAAAAATATAAAAATTTTAATTAACGAATTTTTTTTAATTACAAAATATAATTAGTGACAAACTGTTCACCTAAATGAACATTTAGTGCATTATTAAAATATATTAAAACATTTATTTAAATACCTAGTTTTTTTTTTTTCTTTTAATAAATAAATTTATTTATCTTTTGGCCAATCAGAGCTAGCCAGCCGCCATGGCACGCGGGTGCGGATTAGTGGTACGCGCTGTCGACAGATGGCGCTGCCTATGCTGACGCCGGAGTCGGACGGACGTGGCCATCGCCCAAGTTGGCGTCGTTATGAAAATGTCAAAACTACAGCTGCGCTTCTTTGGACCTAACTGTACACGCACCATGGTGGCTGCGGTGAACTTCGAGGATGGAAAGATGCAGTTCAGCGATCGGAGGGCACCCAGGAAAGACCGGACGCACATAGGCCGGACGGAAGAGAAAACGCCGCGGAGCGCACAATGACGAAAATGGCGGGAGGTTAACCTCGCAAATGTTTGACTGTTGTGACAGAGATTGCAAGGTGGGAGCGCTACCGCATCCTATCGGGACTTCACCTGCGCAACGCGGGATCACGGGTGAGCACCTTTCTTCACGCGCTGGGGAGAGAAGCTGAGGACGTCTTCACTAACAAACGCCAGCGGCCGATCTTCCTTCATTTCATGAATACTACTCTGAAAAAGCAATTCAACAGTCGCAAGCAAGTGGCTAAACCCAGAGCGTGTACGTCACCGAACCTATTATTCAGTTTCATTCTCCAAGTTTTTGACAATAAAGTCTTGTCAACCTTCCATTTTGTGCCGTGTTTCATTGTTGCTGCAGTTGGTACCAGCGGTAACTTGGACCAACTCTAACTGGGACCAGTTGTAACTGGGACCAATTCCAGCTGGGACCAACTCCAACTGGGACCAGTTGGACGACTCCAACTGGGACCAGTTGCCACTGGGAATTGTTCCATTAACCAGTTGCAACTGGGACCACTTGGTCCCAGTTGAAAATTTTCACCTGGGCTAGAAAACAAAATGACGTTTGTGCAGCGCCGCGACGTCATGCAGCGACAAAATGCTGCAGCCACAGTCTGTAGTACAAGGTGCGTGCTGGCACACGTTTGCACTATCAAGCACAAGAGCAACACTGACTTGTACGGCACAGCGCAGCTTCTTTTAAGCCTTCTCTGGGAGCCTAGAATATTCTGTCTCCATCCTACACACATTTTCGGAATACCAGCTTTACTGTTCCGGGTATGCTATTTCTATGAATTAAAGATCCCTATTGAGAAAATGGCAATACAAGGTTATGCCAAAACCAACATTCAAATTTTTGTGCACCCTCCAGTGGGGCGACATAACATGTTGTATGTATAATACCCGCGCCAGACAAACTCATTAAGAGTCACTTCAAGCGAGTGCACTTCAGAGTATCTAATGTACCTTCAAATGTTTTCGTGCTACGCGGCAAAATTTAGTGTCACTCGGAAAGGATGGCAAAAACGATAGGTGATGTAAAGAGCACCCAAATTACTCAAACGAACGTGCCAATTTCTCAATCTTTTCTGTATATCCCTATTAAAAACATGTTACCAGACACAGTTGCGTTAATTGGAAAGCTTTACGCCAATTTGATGAATACTCTGAGCCATGACAAGCCAAGAAAAGTATAAAGCAGATATTTCCAGGTGGTCTTCCCACAGTATAATCACAGCAAAGGTCTCCTGCAAAACCATGGGCAACTTGGGGCTCATGGTGCTGCGGATGACTTCATATCAAAATTCAAAGTTTGCGGTTTTACGCTCAAGTGGTACCTCTTGCGGTTTTACACTGAAGCAATACCAAGCCTTGTTGTGCAATCAAGTGCAATGAGCACAACCTACTATAATCCTGACCTGCACAAATCCTGTTCACAGCGTGCCTCTCTAGTGCACGGTTTGCACGGCTGGTGATATTAGTAATACTGTTGTTCGAGAACATCTGCAGTAGCATGGGGCCAGCGGGCTGCAGTAGCACACTACAGCAGGATGCATCGCTGGCATCGCTCTCATGTTTGTTTAACTTGAAAGAGCACAATTCTTTGGTGCAAAAGTGCAAGGGCGTTTTTAGCCTGGACTGCTCGTTTTATTGTCGAAATAAGGCGCATTCTCGGATCACCCATAAATAGCCACTTCACTGGCACCCGGCGCCTCTAGTGACTAATCTGTCACCGACTGACGAGATCCCACAAGGAGAGCAGGTCAGAACCAGATAACGCCACTGTGCAATGCGCGCCTTCGATTGATATGCGGAAACCCTAGAAAACAAAATGACCTTTGTGCAGTGAAGTCAAGTCGTGCCATGACGAAATGCTGCAGCCGCACTCTGTAGTACAAGGTGCGTGCTGGCACACATTTCCACGATCAAGCACAAAAGCAACGCTGACTTGTACGACGCAGCGCAGCTTCTTTTAAGCCTTCTCTGGGAGCCTAGAATATTCTGGCTTCGTCCTTTTCGAACTATACATTGTGAACACGAATAGGACAGACGGTTCTCCAACCTTCTCAAACATTTTAGTTTCATAAAGAAAGATAGAATGACACGCTGTGCCAAGAACCGAACCCGAGGCACCCGAGTTCAGTCCTTTACAAGCACAACTAGAGAGACCCAAGGACTGCTTGAGGTTTGGATAATGTCGTCGTCAAGTATTTCCTGGACTTGCTGTTGAATAACGTGTCTCTTTCGAAG